ATTATGATTAGTAAATAATTCTTACAATTGTTTTATAATAACTAGGTATCGTGAGACATACTAAATTAACTAAAAATCGTGGGTTATTCACGTGACTATACTGAAAAAGGTCTAGTAGTTTCGTGCGTAGTCACGACGATGTCACCCAGTCTACTCTGCTGCTAATGAGGATGAAACCATCTGTGGTTCGAAACTAGTAGAGCTTTTCTTAGTAACCCGCGGTTTTTAAGTCATTCTTCCAATTGTTTGGCTTTGATAAATATTTTTTTTATGTAATTATAAAAGAGAAATGTCGTCACTTTTCAACGATTGTTGCTGACCTAGATGGTCAAAGAAAAAGTCTGTTCAGTTATCAATTTTTTCATCCAAGGTAGAAAATACTGGGTCAAACGCTAAATATTGACCTTAAAATTAAACTAGACTATAAATGAGAAACAAAAACAATTCTTTAATCAATTTAATAACCCAGTCAACCATTTTGCACTTATCAACCATATTTAAAACCGAAGAAGAAAAATTTAATCACAAAAGAACTTCGTCTCGTTCAACATCTGAACAAGTTCAATTCTAGTTGCAAGTCTCAAACATTCATTCTAATCGATGGGGCTTATCAGAGAACATCTCCTCCCCACTGAGAGCTAACTTAAGGGTGGGGGGAGGTAAACAGGTCAGGACAAGCGCAAACGAGCTCAGACAGGCGTGACGAGTGAACGTGTCGCGTTTTTCGAAACCACGACACCTGTTCTGATTAATCCTGAGGCACTCAGGATTTATGAAAACAAGTGAAGGTATTGGCTCGAGTTTGTTTATTGAGGTATGAAGATGAAGTTTGTTTTTGATTATCTTTTGAAGGAAATTGTTTGGGGATGTCTATTTTTCATTGAGCTTTTTAAATTAGCATTATACGTGCAATGTTAAAAAATAAGTGTTATCTGCCATGTCTTTATCGGCCAAGTCACACAATATTAATTATAATAATAAAGGAATCGCAGTAAGAAACCTTAAACTTGGCACGACTTGGTCTAGATTTCATTAGATACTTTTAAGAGATGAACGAGCGGCTTCATCGAAACTTGGGTAGTTTTTTTACAGAATGTTTTTGGTTGGATATAGTTTTACCAGATAAAGAAGTCGAGAAAAAGTATCATTGTTTTAAGTACTTTGACCAAATTTAGGACCTAAACTAAAATTCTATAGGTATATGGATTTTCATATATGAGAAAGATATTTCATATTTTTATACGTACACAAAGCACCGCTAATTAGTTCGAGGCGCTACACATCGACATTACTATCATTTACACAGTGAACATGTGTGGGTAATTTCATATTAATAGATATGTATAGAAACATTCGTTCTATCACACACATCTTGGTATTACATATCATTTTTGTGTCGGTATACGTAATATTTTAGTAAATAAGTTTAAATAAAAACGAGGGTAAAGATAAAAATACTCATAACAAACTTTGAATAAATCGAAATCAAAAATAATGAACGATCGAGCAATACAATACTTATATAAATATAGTGCATTCTCATTGTATTTTTATGTTACTGAATGATATACAATATTTCGATGTTCTCATCTACGGCGCGCTTGGCGCAATGGTTATCGCCTCCAGTGGTCAAGTAAAGTGCCACCGGATCGATTCCAGCATTCACATGTTGTTTTAGTATTAATTAATCAAATATTTGAAATGTGAAATTAGAAACAATTAAATCTTTTCTTTTTTTCCTATCCTATTTTTCTAAATCTTATGTTAATTTTAATAGTAAATACTTTAGATTTATTTATACCTATAATATCCTTTATTTATATTTTAGTTCTAGTTATTTATTATTTAGAATAATTTAGAATGATTGGAAGAACTTTAAAGTTAACATGTGGTATATAATTAATTATTAGATATAAATATTGAATATAAAACCACATATTTGTATAATTAATAAATTAATTTTAATAAAAAATAGTATTGTTTTATTTACCGACTGATTTGCTTCTTTTATAGCCTGATATTTATATTATATGACAAAAAACAAAAAAAAAATAAATAAGAAAAACAACAAGGTAAAATAAAAAAAAACTTTTAGCTGGAATAGAACCCACATCATCATTGATCCTTGAAAGACGATAAAAGCGTACTCATTAACCAATCGACCACGAGCACTACGATAATTACAGTGAAAATGTCGGGTCATATCAATGATTGTAAATAGTTTTAACCTTACCCATGCATTAAATTATAAAAATACGTATACCGACACAAGAATGAAAATACCAATGTGAACGTGGTGGACGAATATTTTTATACACAGTAATATGAAATTACCCACACATGTACATTGTGTAAATGACAGTAGTGTCGATGTGAGCGTTACGAACTAATTAGCGGTGCTTTGTGTACATAGATATGCAGGTCCAACAAGATATCTTAGTAATGAAAACTTAAGTGGAAAGTAAACAGATTTAAGTATGAAAATTATTTATGTACCTTTACCCTTTAAGTGTGGGAGAGCCATGCTTCGGCACGAATGGGCCGGCTCGACCGGAGTGATACCACGGCCTCACAGAAAACCGACGTGAAGCAACGCTTGCGTTGTTTGATTGCTTACCATCAGGTGATCCGTGACGCTCGTTTAACGACTTATGCTATAAAAAAACCCGACGAGCATGCATGACATGACATTCCATGGTCCTCTACCTACCCCCATCGGACACAGCTGTGACTCTGTGAGGTTATGTATGTATGGATATTTATGGATGTACGTATTACTTATGGACCATTCGTAACTTAAAGCAAGTTTCATAGACAACATTGTTCGTATAAAGAAATGTAGGTCAGTTTATTAGCAAGAGTACAAGCTGCGAAAATAATTTCCATTCATCAATATTTGTACTCCTTGTAGTATCTATTCATAAATCTATGAATAGCCGTACCTATATTCCTTAATATGAAATATTACTTTAGGTGGATCAAAATCATTAGTAAGTGGGTTGAAAAGAGTATCAAAGTAAAGAACCAGTATGTGGTCAGTTTTATTTGATCGTTTACATCTATAACCTATTTCCTTCAACTCCTTGGTATATATGCTTAACCAAGGACCAAATGTTGGGATTAGATAGGAGTTGCTCTAGGTTACTCGGAATGATACACGGAAATATCTTTATAAAATACTAGCAGCCCGTCCCGGCTTCGCACGGGGTAGACAATTTTTTTGGAAATTTGGATTGTTGTAGTGAAACAACTACAATAGTTGGACATATGCTACCGCGGAGTTTTTTGTAGACATTATGATGTGATGAACTTCAATATTGTTGTACATTTTTTTGTTCTATCGCTAATAGTTTCGGCAGCGCATTCGACGAAAGACTTATTAAGATCATTTTTCTACACCTTCGGTTACATTGTTCAAATTTTACCAAGGATCCCTAATTTTTTTCAAAATTAAATGTAGCCTATGTGTAATTGGAAGAATGTAGCATTCTACTGGTGAAAGAATTTTTTAAATCGGCCAAGTTCTTTTTGACACATGAAAAAATACAATATAAAATATCGAATTAAAATTAGGTGCATTGTCCAATATGAATAGGTCTCTATGATAACTGATTCCAACTGTCATGGACCGTGGCAGTGGGTGCAAATAACACACCTGACTTACTTTTAACTTTATCTTATCAGTAATTACCTACAAGGGGCCTACGTTGTAAAGTGCAGATTATCTAAAAAAGAATATCATTGTCAACATGTGATGTTCAAAATAACTCATTTTTTATTTTATTTTTATTTTTCGCGTTTTCATTTTTTAATTTATTTTTATTTTTAACAGATTTTCATTGTTTTTATTACATATTTTTTGTCACATTTTCACTAGTTAAAGTTGTTTATACAGGTTGTTCTTTTATATTTCGTTTTGTAAGTTCTTTTATTATTTTATTACAATATTAGCACTTGTAAATGATATTGTGAATGATATAGTTATATGTGCGCTAAGTGATTCACGTATATTTCGAGGTGAATATTTCTTTGCATTTACGATAAGTCGATAACTAATCAGTGATAAGACAACGTCGATAACGGTAAATAGATACATGATGCTTGTTATTTTGTTCAAAGGAAAAATACCAGTGCAAGCCCTCCGTCACTTAATATTTTTATATTATTTTTATTGTTGTTGTGTTTTTCTTGACTTTATTAGATAGTCTGATTATGTCCGTGCTGTAGGTATACCTACAGCATAAAATGCAATAAACGATTGAGTAAACATTCTCGTTATCGACTCTCTCACATTGACTTAAAATACAATTTTGCAAATGAACAATTAAACGGTTTCCCAGGAACTTAACAAGCACAAACACTTAGATAAGTACCTATCATCTAAAATTCTAAATGACTATTTCAGTTTGACAATTATTATAAAAAACACTTTTCTTTGTGTGAGCTAGTGTAGAGCATAAGCATTGAGAATGAACAATTATGAGTTCCTGAATACTGTTTTTGTCTATTATGATAGTAAGAATAGCAACTAATTAAAATCACTAAGTTACACACAATTTCAAACTTTGTATAAATACCTAAATCCTGTTATCAAATGATATAATTATTACAATTATTCTTGATCAACCCTGAAAATATCTTCATCCGTTATAAGAAGAAACACATCTATACATCGGTACTCTAGGCGGATAAAAAAATACATAAATACTTACACAACAACACGCCTTTTATCCCCGAAGGGGTAGGCAGAGGTACACATTATGGCACTTAATGCCACTATACAATGTAACACCCACTTTTCACTATTTATGTTATGAGTCCCATGTAATAGCGGGTGAGTCTATTGCCATATACCGAACACATTTTCAGACTCCGGGCTACTACTGAGGTTTTTTTAAAAACCCAATAATACTTTGCCCGACCCAAGAATCGAACCTGAGATCTCCTTGTCGAGTCGCACTTGCGACCACTCGGTCAACGAGACAGTTATGAAAAAATATCGTACAAAAAAACACAACCTGTACATAATGGCCATTCCTACGAATTCAGAAACCCGCCTAGTATCGCTAACTATACTATCTTCAACATTACAAAAGCAATACTCGACGACGTCAGTGACGTGATATATTTTCGTTCGCCACACCGTATCTGTATTAAAATACAGTATTTTCACCGCAGTGCTACATTGTGAATGATACAACATATCCAATGGTTTAATAACTATGTGAAAATGTGCATAAACAGTGTATAAGTTCGTGTATTCAATGGCATCCGGTAAGCGTAGTAACAATAACCCGCTTTCGCATAATACTATTGATTTCATTTTCCCTGTTAACCTATTTTCGATTTTATTACTGTATGGAATAAGGTTATTTTCACCATTTTTGGGTGTTTGAATATTAATCTTGTATTATGGACGTGCGAATTCGTGCTGTAAGATAATATTTGGTTAAAACACTGAGTGCGACCTTTGAGTACATATTTTTACAAACGTATGTAAATACTTTTCTCTTATCAATGTACGAACTAGCATTTTTAAGAATTTCTTTTTCTTTTGGTGTTTGGCGCCATTTTTGTGTTTCGAACTGTCAATCTGACATACTAGGTTATGTTAGGTTAGGTTAGGCTGTAGAACAAAATTGTAATACGCGCCTTATATTTATCATTTTACACAAAATGCAGTTATACTTATCTATTAATATCTAATGTAATATCGTAATAGGTAGGTACACTGATATTATATAGAAAAACCAAGTGTATTAATTGGATTTTGGTAACGACTCTAAATTATATCAGCTTTAAAAGGTACTACCTAATATCTAACTTCAAGCTAAACGTCAATTCTTTTAGATAAAACATTTCGAAAGTCAAATACCATTATCACCGCGTAGGCTTATCAATTTCAAAACTATCATGCTCCACCTAATTTATTTTTGTTCAAAATTCGGTCAAGAACAGTGAAGGAATTTCTATATTTGAGGTATTAAGCCGGACAGCTGTACTTGGATATTATACCTGTATTTTCCTTAGAATCAGATATAGACTAAGTTTATATCTATTGTCCTTATCGTTCAAATGTTTTCTAGATATGTAAGACAGTGATGGAGATATAGATTAATTAGGGCATGCTAAACAACATATACATTTTCAGCTTTTACTCATTGACCAACGCGTAATTATAGTTTTAAATGTGTGGACTTTCAACGTAGACCCCAAACTGAGTTGAAGACTTTCTCCTTTTTTGAAGTCGATTAAAAAGGCTAGTATAGGTACAATAGACGTAATGTTTGCGGGATAAGTTCACATGTCTTATCATCTTATGCGATGGTCGTAAACTGAACTTGAACAAACTTGATGACAAATTGTAAACTAATCACTGCCCTGTCCACCAACATCGTGTCAATACCAATAGTCTTAATTTAACAATAAGGTTTTATTTTATTCTGCCCCACACTTCGATGATCTCCTGTATCTATAGAGGTACAACTTCTCATAATATGAGACCCAGAGCCGGAACAACAAATTACATGTGAATTACACAAAGAGTTGTACTGCGCGGGAATCAGGCGACACACCGATATGTCCAATAAACAAAACTCTTAAAAGTTATAGGTATTGATAAACACACATCATCATCATTGATAAACATACGCCTAGGTAGGTACCTACAGCTAGGTAAGATCTAGCCGGACGCAATGTAGGTACCTATGTATAAGGATAGTTCATTATCAAGAGTGTTAGTGACACGATAAGCAATCTTAGACTATCTACCCTCTTCCTCTAAGAAGTAAGTACTATTGGGTGCTATGAATGGCATTGCATGACTACATATATTATGGTTTATCTACACTTGAGAGCAAAGAAACGAAGCCACCCGTGTTTTTTTTTTCATTTTATCGAACTTTTTATAACTGAAAAATAATTATTTTAAATATAAACTGCGTTTAGGTACCGACTTCTGATGACTGATGACTGCACGTTAGGTGCGGTAGCTGGGCAACTGGCTGCCGCACAACGTGTCCCGGTTTCGATTCCCGCAACTCTTTGTGTGATCCGCAGATTTTCCAGTTTCGGGTTTGGGTGTTATGTGTATGTGAACCTATATGTTTGTAAACGCAACCACGACACCGGAGAAAATCCCACTGTGGGGCAAAGTTATTAAAAAAAAACTTCAATCCGCTTTTTAAGTCGGTTGATTAATATACTAAAACCTTCTCCTAAGTATAACAAACACTTTTTTGTAAATCGCGTTAATATCAGTTCAGCCAATCGCGAGATAATCGCGCATAAAACACACACACACACACACATCCATAGTTCAAAACTGGGAACCTTCTTCTTTTTTTGAAATCGGTTACAACAAAGTGTTGTCATTTTAAAGGTAAGTATGTAAATTGCCTTTTTTACGACATACGTTACTAATTAATAAAAAACTGATAGGATTAGTTGTTTGGAGACTTGAAGTTGAACAAGAACTGTATGGGTACATTCCATAAAATATGAAATGAGCCGAGCACCTACTGATTCAGTTGTTCAGCTTCATGGCTCTGATTCATTGACCTCTATTTGATTTAAACACTTATTAGGTTACGATGGGACTGACATACGCTGTGCAGGATCACATCAACAGCCTGTTTCCGTCCACTGCTGGACATAAACCTCTCCAATGGCACGCCACTGAACTCGGTCTTCAGTTCTACTAAACCACTACCAGCCACTTTACGTATATCGTCACTCCACATAGCTGGAGGGCGCCCTACACTACGTTTGCCAAGACGCGGTGTCCACTCCAGAACACTTCTACCCCAGCGGTCATCGGTCCTTCGAAAAAGTAAAAAGTCTGTGCGGTATAAAAGTCCCTTAAAAAATATTTGATAACAAAAAGTGAAAAAGAAAAGACACTAGTGACTCCGTTATTTTGCTCTCAAGTGTATACACATTTCGTCTCATATCTAAGTATATTTGTTTAAATAAGTTTCCAACATAATGTAGTTAAACATCCTTTACTAGGCCTCCTGGTATTGGTTTTCAATACTTTTTAACCAACTTCGACTATAGGAGGACTTTTGCGATTGTTCAATGAAAATTCGAAAAGGCTGGAGCGATTTGAGTCATTCCTGTTTATTAAAATGGGTTCACTTTACGAATGATCTCTTGATCATCAGACCACTATAATATGGAACTAAATAAAAGAAGGAATATTATCCTTAACCCTAGGGAAATCCCAATTTTTTAATCTAATTAACTTCTTAATCCCCGATTATATGAAACATCTACAATATTTTTTCATACAAAAGTAGTCTCGAAACATCAGAAATAAGGTCTATAATGGCGTAAGTGGAAAGCGGTCACCGATGACCGCTTGGGGACTGGGCAGTGAATCGAATTACTGTAATTCCTGATTGATTAATCAATCGAAAAAGAAATTAATCTCTACGATATGAGCAGGATCATTATTATGATGATGTAATAAAATAATCTCAAAAATTTACTTTTTATACTGTTCACAATGTTCATATGAATATGATATTTGAATGTAATAGTGTGTAATTTACAAACACTTACAAGGTCGAGTTAAACTCGAAAAATGAAAAATCATGGCAATATCCTCTATAGTATTTACTCGAGGATTTGAGTATTTCGTTAAATGCGAAAAGTCACTGTGACTACCAATTTCGACTTCAGTCCTCCGGTTGAGCAATGAATAATGGTTTATTTGTTTAGTTTCCAAAATGACATTGCACCTAAAACTGTGCCAGATACCTATCTGATGTAATAAGGTTTTTAATGCATACATTATGTAATTGTCGAAATGAAGAAGTATAGTAAAACTTATACTTAGTATATAACTTTACTGTCCTTAATAAAAACATGATTATAATCAAAAAACGAACATCTATCCAAAGTTTCACCGTAGCTGCGGAAGGCCTAACAGAGTCGCGGTAAGTAGGTCGGGGCTCCGGCTCGAAGAGCAGAAGTAGGAACGGGATGGTTTTTGGTCAATAAGAGTTTGACACTCCCTTTCGCCTAACCTAAGGCGGGAGAAGCCATTGGACGATTTTCTTTTCTACAATAATACAAACTTTCGCATTTCCTTTTAAGAACACTTCCCTAGTCTTGAATGGAATCTGACCTAGTTAATACTATTTTGTCAAGTTCATAACACATTATTATACACTCATTTATCATTTAATTCTATATAATATACATAATATATATGTATAAATGCCACCAGTGGTCGTCAGTTAGATAACTTATTAATTTCATTACCACAGTTGGCGTCACAGATTATAAAAACAATCTTTTATCTAATTGATACGAATCAAATTGGAAAAGTTCTAGGTAATCAAAAATGTTAGGTATTTACTGAATAATAAGCCATGACTCGCTTTTATTATTATTTGAAAAGTGCATGTGCACTATGTCATAGACACTCGGTTTTCTTTGGTTGGTAATTGAGCCTCCGGTAACCTCATTCACACGTCGAAACACAACGCAAGCGTTGCTTCACGTCGGTTTTCTTTGAGGCCGTGGTATCACTCCGGTCAGCCGGCCCATTCGTGCCGAAGCATAGCTCTCCCACATTTGATTATGCAATGTATTATTTCCTTTCATAGAAATTAAATGAAAGCAGCTAACTTCAGCTAAAAAGCTGAGTGAGTGATATCTGTCTAATACAAAAAACACCTTTTTTCCAGATGTGATACTACCAGCGCTATTATTGTGGCTGATGTCGACCCTGGTGTCGGCTGGTCTGGTGAAGAGACAGGCTGATGATTTGGAAGACCAAATACCACCGTGCCGGACCTACATGATGGACGGCCTCCTCCACTTAGACTGCTCCAATAGAGAGCTGAAGGAATTACCTGAAGAATTGGATTATAATGTAAGTACTGAAAAAGATTAAAGTTTCTTAGTTCCAATATCAATGCTAAACAGAAAGGAAACATACTTAACACGAGTGTATCAAAAAGTGTGATGTTATATTAGTTATTGGGATTTGTCCTATATCTGCAGCAACGCCAGGTGGCCTTCCCTTAAAGTCTAAGGTAAGGCCTTTGTTCAGCAATGCATTGTAACACTGTAAAACAGTACAAAATAGGTTTATTTTTATATGTAAGGTACTTTCAATTATTGCTACCGGATTTCAAGAGCATTTTATTATTCAATCATCTTTTAGTTAAAGGATAGCGGTATTATGTAGTAAAAACGAGGTTCTGTTTGTTAAAAACAAGGACCGCCTTGTATTTAACAAACACAATCGTCTTGGCAATGTTTAACACATAATACAATGATAAAAGAAATAAGTTTTATTAATAATACACATAATAATAGCAACACGATAATGCTGTGTAATCTATTATTACGATGATTAGGTACTTACTAATCAAAACTAATCTTAACTGGGTGATTTGATGCTTAACACTATTTGATATAAAGTACATGATCACGATTCCTAACTCATTTAATCAGTAGATTAGAATCTCACATTGTTGATTTCTTAATATTTTTCAATAAAAAATACAGCAACTTTAATATTTCTTTTTATTTATTTCAGGCTCAAGTATTGCTTCTATCGAACAATAATTTCAAGACGTTCCCGCCACAACTAGAGAATTTTTCTCGTGTGGAAACGCTCGACCTGTCACGGAACTATCTGACTCATACCATTCCCAGCTATTTACAAAACTGGGTCCATTTACAAACTCTCAATCTATCAAATAACCTCTACGACACATGGACAACGACTGGACAAAAGTATTACATAAAAAATTTAGACTTATCAAAAAATAAAATTAACTTAGTAGACGAAAAAGCATTCACCACAATGCCCCACTTATATTTCCTCGACTTATCAGAGAACAGAATTGATGATTTACCCGCCGGAGTGTTTTCCGAAACGCACCACTTGGACAGTCTCATTTTATCCAGAAATTACTTTTCCGACGTGCCCAGCTTCCAATCTCCTTCTTTGAGAAATTTACACATGAGCAGCTGTCAGATCGCAACTATGAATGTCGACTCTCTCGTCGGAATGGGTTCGCTCTTGGCTATCGATTTATCAATGAACCAGCTTGAAGAGATTCCAGACAACCTCGCTTCGGACACTCTGCAGGAGCTAAATTTAAGTTACAATTCAATAAATTTCTTGACAGACAACAGCTTCTCGTCGTTACCGCATCTGGCGGTATTGGACCTGAGAGGAAATGAGTTCAGGGATGTATGGTCGACTTCACACTTCTCTTCAAACCCGTTTTTGAGGGAGGTCTACGTGAAGGGAAATCGGTGGAGCTGTGAAGGTTTTAGTGTCAATCTCTTGTTGACTTATGAGTTTTTGACAAAGGAACCATCGAAGATAGTAGACAGAGAGTCATTAATTTGCTACTCACCGTCCAATGTGACACAGTTGAGCTGGCAGCAGGCTTACATTCGGACGTGGCACCCGGTGGAATCGAGTAGTCCGCCGTTCACGACTATAGCGTTAATGGTGGGTGTGATCATCGGGATTGTGGTGACATCATGTGTGTGTCGAGGTCTAGTGGCCATCACAAGATCATCAGCAGAGCCCGCAAGGCCACCGCCCGAGACTACAGTTCTGAATCTCAACGGTACAGCTACCCAGCCTCGGGCCGAGTCAGTTATATTACGAGTACCCTTGCGTGAGGATCTCCCACCGAGCTATGACGAAGCGCTCCTAATGCCACGTTTGAACTCATCCTTTCATTCTTTGCCAGATTTTGTTGACGAAGAGGAACCGAGAAACTATCGCAGATCGAGATCAATTGGTGATTTGACAGAAACTAGGCCTAGAATAGCAGACAGACGGTCTTTACGGCGTCCTGTCGATATACGTATCACAATTGATGAGTAAACAAAATTTTATTGAAGTCAGTGATTGAGGTTTAAAAATGTTACAAAATGTGCTAAAACATGGCAGATCCAAGTAATTCAGAATTATTACTGCATTTCTAGTAAGTACTAATCAAAATTGTGTACTGTTAATGGCCTGATTGGTCTGTCAGAACAAAAGTTTAATTAGGTAATTATTTATTTACAAATAATAAAACTAACTCTACAAATATAAGACTTCCCACTAGTTTTAAGGAATTTAATGTTACTATTTAAGATATTTGTACATAAGTAATATTAAAAAATTAGGTATAAATTGATTATGGTTTTACTACATTATCCTGAAAACATTGATATCCTTCACGAAAATTTAAATCCAAACTTGTAGCGCCATCTACCTTCAATAATCTGTACAAAAATGTTGACACAGCGCTGTTATCTTGACACTGAGAAACCTACAAAGTTCCGAACTTAGGATGTAGATGGCGCTGTACACAAAATAGTTAAGGCGGTAAAAAGTTTTGCACGAGGAATAATTCAAATAAAATACGGCACAGCACAAACGCAGACTATAAAATTAATCAACTAAGTTGATCAAGTATGTAGTAAAATATTTTCTAAAATTATTGGCTTACACAAATCAATAACGTGTTACATATTTTTTGTGTCAAGAAATTTCTACCTTTATACCTATTTTCTTAGGACATAAGAAGGGTAAAGCAGTTGTGATTTTCTATTTTGTGTGATTACATAATATTCACAGATATCCCTAAGAGTCGGCCAAGTACAGATTACCGCGCCCCTAAACACATACGCTTTCGCCATTCTTATCACCAATGATAACGTCACGAATTTGAGTCACACAATGTAATCGCACCGTAGGGACAACACGTCTAAATTAAAACTAATTGTTCCAAAAACCATAGATTAAGGTGTTTACATTCATACGAAAGGCAAAGATAAGTGAAATATACAGATAATGTCAGTTACATAAATGTGTGTTCAATTAAACTGTAAAGAAAAGGTAAGTACTGTTTTCCAAATCTTTATTAATTGCCAGCCATTTTCGAGTGAGGATAAAACATTATCTAAAATAATACGAGTTTCCTTAAATTAAACGCTGTAACACAATCCTTGCCATAGAACCAATAAGTATCGATTTTTTTCTGCCTACACCATAGGTCAACTCAATTTTTATCTACCTGTGTTGGTACACAATTCGTATCTATTCTACAGGTACCACAGTAATGGTAAATATCTCGGTAATAAGGTCAAATACCACTTGAAACTAGAACTACGTGTGTTTAAGAACTTTATCTTCATTAACAATTACAGATTTCATTATTCATTGAAAAGTAAAACTTTGTACATTCTTACAATATTTCTAGTCCTATAGGCATATCTATAGTTATTTTATTGAAATCTAAGGTTTCAAGCTATGGTTTTTAACCAACTGTCTTCGCTGTGTGATAATTTAGTAATACTAAGTTTCCAATCCCTTGAAACCCCATAGATATAATCGTTTGTCCTGAATTTACTTCACGTTTTCGATACAGATACGCAAAGTCGACCCAAATTTAAGTATTCTACTGTTTTATCAATAGCTGATAACAAAGATAAAATTGTTGTATGTACTATAATGCAGTGGTTATTCATGGTTAAAATAGCTTTATGATTCTACTTTAGTTCTCTTCGTAGACTATTTCGGAAGTTCGTGCGTGACAAGGATTTTGAGCAGATGTAAGCAGGTGTTCGACACTATTCTGTCTTCCTTCCTCATCGTATGAAGGACGATGGTTAGATTTTCTTTGGATAGTCCATTTTCATTAACTCACACGTCAGTTCTAAGAGTCTACTAATACAATTGGAACCGGTATTTTTAAATTTGTTTTAGTGATATTGTGTCTCGTATTTTTTAAATTCTCATTACCATAGTTTACCATAGCCATCGCGACTTCTATTTCTATTTCAATTTTCATTGTAATCTTCAGTTTGATTGTTATATCTTTAGTGTTGCGTCCACTCCTCCACTGTAATTACATTTAGGTATGTTTCTTTTTATCATAACGACTAATTTTCTCGGAAGCAATTGATAGTAGCGAATATTTCTTTACTTGTCACCTGTTTTTATATGTTGTTTAGTTTTCTGACTATTTTTATATAATGAATTTGTAATTAACTTCTTTTATAACGGTGACTCAATTTACAGAAACAATTGTCACTGATTAATGTTTTAAATGTGATAGTGGTTATATCTGATTCATTGCGTCTCTATCATGAAATAACAGATGATATGGAAGAATTGAGTGAAACGGATGTCCAGTCATAAAAATCCGTGTTTCGCGAATTAGGTTTGTCAATCAATTAATTTGGTGATAATGTGTTATTTATTATTGGCTGACTCGAAAGGTGTTGTTCTTTTCACGACAATTTTATCAATTTTATTCATTTAACCCATGGTATGCCGTAACGTAGATTTTCTGTTGTGTCTTATATACCGGCAGGCGAGACGTTATCAACATTTTAAAATATATCGTTATTCTAACCGTCCTCCTAATTAGTAGATAGCAATACAGTTTTGTGGTATTGTTTTACTAATGGCCTCTTTATATGGTTTTCAGGCAGTAATGATATCGAGACGTGATGGTTCGATTACCCAAAACACTATGTGTTCTCTTGCTGATCGGTATAGCGGAGGGAGGAGCAAGTTCTGACACAGACCTTGGTGATCTGTGCTACTCTTGCACGTGCAGCGCAGACAAGACCATCATCGACTGTTCCCACAGAGGATTGACTGAGTTACCTGATGGATTCGGTACACAGGTAATTCTATAATTATTAATTATTTGTTAATTTAAGAATGTCTCTAGTTTTGTTTTAGTATCACGAACGACCATTTTCTATAGCCTATATTTTGACATAGGCTCCATACAAAATGTGTATGTAGATAGGTTATGAAAAATGGCCGTAAATTAATAGTGGTTAATAATATAGAGTAGAATCAAGCGTTATCTTGCGGAAAATTATGGCGGAATTAAAACTACATATTTTTCCTTTAGATTTCAGTATTTGGATCCTCTTTCCGTAATTTTTGTTATCGGGTTTTATTGACTGCCTCGTTGGCCGAGTGGTCGCAAGTTCGACTTCCGGGCAAGGAGTCTCGGGTTCGATTACCGGGACGGGCAAAGTATTACTAGGTTTTTCAAAAAAATCTCAGTACTACAGTAATACTCAGTATACGGGGCCCGTATATGGCAATAGGCACACCCCCTAGGCCTATTACATGGGACTCAAAACATAAATAGTGAAAAGTGGGTATTACATTGTACAGTAGCATTGTAAGGGCCGTAATGTGGACTTCTGCCTACCCCTTAACAATCCCCATAACGGGGATAAAAGGCTTGATATTATGTCGAGTTTTATAGTGAAGTAAATGTCGGCATTAATCTAAAGTTTTTAAAATGTACATGGATAAAGAAATATACATGTTTCCCAAATACCGGTCTAGTTTAGAAAATGTTACACTGATTACTAATAATCATGTTGTTTATTTCCAGGTGACGAGGCTGAACATTTCACACAATGAAATTGCAACGTTCCCTGAAAGCATTAAAAAGTTCAGTAATCTGCTCAGTTTAGATTTAAGTGGAAATCGCCTCAATGAATTACCAAGAGATGCGCTACAAAACTTGACAGTCCTTGAAGAGTTGAATTTGTCCAGAAATTTCTTTGAAGCATGGATAAGCCTAAACCCCAACGAAGTGTTCCGTCCAGCAACAAATCTAAAGACACTAGACTTGTCACACAACAAATTCTCAACAATGGGAAACTTAGCAAATCAAGAGCTGATCATAAGTTCTTCCTTAGAAACATTAATCTTGGAGAACTGTGAAATAGATTCCATACATGGAAGGTCCCCTTTGAGTGGTCTTATCAACATCAAAACACTTAGATTACACTCCAATCCCTTAATGAGAATACAAAGTCTTATATCCTCCACGTTAAAGAGTCTCGACGTCAGCAACTGTGCTCTTAGTACAATAAATCATAACGAATTAATGTATTTACCATCATTGGTTTACTTGAAAATGTCTCATAACTACCGCTTGGAACTGTCTGCTACCGCATACAATTTGTTCTCAGACTCTTTAAAATATTTAGACATATCGTACTGCAATGTGCTTCAACCTAATCTACAAGGATTTCCTAATCTAAGAAGAGCAATCCTCAATCACAATATGATCAGATTTCTTAGAAGTAACGAGTTTGTCAACAATACTCTGCTGGAGTATATAGATTTATCTTATAATAATATCGGATCACTGAAAAGTGACACATTCCGTGGATTACACGTAATAAAATATTTAGATTTATCGTGGAATGAAATAGCGACAATACCCGAAGATACTTTACTAGAAATGCCTTCACTAACACAAATAAAATTATCTCGGAATTATCTTTCGAGTGTCGGGCATTTGAAATCTAATTCGCTAACTGTTTTGGACATGAGTTCGTGTGAAATAAGTAGTATTGGCAAGGATTCTTTGGAAGGATTACAAAGTCTTATAGACTTAGATCTATCGAGAAATCTTTTGACACACATTCCTGATAGTATATCATCGAACACACTAAAGTATTTAAACCTCAACTACAACAGGATAACTTTCATTAACAACTATACGTTTTTCATGCTGCCTCGACTAGCAGGCCTAAGTGTCATTGGAAATAGATTCACTACAATCTGGAGAAGATCATATTTTGAATCAAATCCATATCTTGAACGACTTGATTTAACTGATAACATGTGGAGATGTGACTGTGCTGATGCAAACATGTACGATTTTTATGAATTTGTCACTTTAGAACCTAGTAAGAAGGAAGAATCCTATAATCTGGTTTGCAACAGCCCGATTGCATTAATTGGACAAACATGGTTAGAAGCCTGTTATTTTGTCTGGAATCCCACCGAGAAAGTTCCAAATCCAGACGGTATAATTTGGTTTATAACTGTAATGATTATAGGATTGGCCGTGTGCCTTCTTTTAGTGAATTGTATAAAAAGGTCAATGCAACGTCGATTGGCTACTATTCAGGCTGAGAGAGAAAGGCAAGTGGAAGAGGCAAGAGATAGATTGAGGCAGCTAAGAATGCGTGCAGAACAGGAAGCTCTGTGTAACACACCAGATCCTCGTGATCTGATTGCACCACCGTCTTACGACGAAGCTCTCTCTATGCCAAAATTGAACACATCATGTCATTCACTTAATGAAACAGGCACAGGCAAGACTAAAAGAAGACGAGGTAGAAGGAAAACCAAGTCAAGCGGAGATTTACTTGAGGAAACTGAAAGGAATGGGGACCTTCCAGTTTTGGATGATCTCGAACTATCTGAGAATCCAAATGATCGTCGACGTCATAGACCGAGACGAGAAATAAGTAGATATGGCAGCCATGAGGTGGCAGAGTTAGACCAGTCGCCTGGGGCTCGTCGTCGGCGCATGTCCGAGTACAACACCGAGTATTATGATGCCCAGAATGGAGACGCTATGACTGTTGAAGTTCAAGCAGAATTAGAAAGACCTCTACGTCCTCGGCAAAGGAGGCACTCTAATGAGGAACTTCGAGAAAGCGACTTATGAAAGAGATTATCGTTTATTTACTGTAACTAATACCTATATAGGAATAATATTGTTGTTGTATCAATTGCATAGTGTTCATACTATTTAAGTTATAATATTAAGAGTTTTATTACGAGAAATAAATGTGTTACAAATAATTTGGTTTGATATTATTTGATAAGCCTCCGTTGCCCTTTCATAGTTTTTTGAATACTTAATCACAAGCGCATTTGTAATAAAATTGATATAAGCGCCATCTACTTACATCCAGTTCAACTAAATGATTGGTGTTAGTTTACTGCTATTTACTTTGTTAGTTTTATAATTAATTATTATCCAATTAATGTTTTTTAATTGTTAACATCACCACTATCGTAAACATATTTTAGTAGGTACACATATTATAAGCTTTTAAATTACTTATTTCGTAAGATTTATGATAGATGGCGACACTGAATGCTTTTAGGAACTGTAGTAGTTTTGTACTAATACCTATTAAAACAATCATATGCTTATTATAACCTTTATTTTTTAGATTTGAAACGTACTTCCACAATACGTGTTTATTCTGTCTCAGGATGCAGTAGGAATTACACAAAGATGGTTTCATGTGGGAATCGAACCCTCACCGTGGTTGTTTGTTGCATTTTGCTCAACTAAATAAATCAACATTTCATAATAATATGTAACTGACGGCTTTAACTAATGGCAATATACCATATGTTAATTATTTATTTCATCTAACAACACTAGATTACTGCATTTTTTAATATTAGAAATCATAAATCATAACTATTAAGATTTTCGTTTCCGAAATTCTAGAAGTCAATTCATTCGGGGCTATAAGTTTACGAAAATAAAGAATAGTGGTAGTTCAGTGAAATTCTCCTTAAGTACACTTCAAACTAGAGAAAATGTGATGGAAATCTAATTTATTTAATAGGAGCGGGTTTAAACACAGTGAAACAAAGGAAAACTTGATTCAACCATTTATATCGTAAAATAGTTTCGAAATAAAAATACATTAAATTTATATTTGCTTACTGAACTATTTATTGTTCTGTTTTGTTCTTTTTTTCTGGAAAACTTCAATGTTTTTTGTAAAAAAATGTTGATACGTTTAACAGTTAACTATTCATATAAACATAATTTAAATTAGGTCAGTAAAAGCATAAAGATACAAAGTAATTAATTTAAAAGCAGCATGTCTTAGTTACATAATAAAATAATTCAAATATAAAAGATCTACGAAATATACACTAAACGAATTTGAATTAGTTATATACATACATTCATTGATTGAAAATAGTTCAAATACTTAAAATACATGGTATCACATTCTTAAAATCTAAAATCAATAAAATTACTAAGGAACTTATGCTTAGCCAGACCATGAAATAATGAATCTCTCGACAGAAAATGAGACAATAACTAAACATAGCCAGTTGGACCTTACGTTGTTATACATTGTTTAGATATATACTCTCAGGGTAGAAGTAAGTACACAACCATTGAACATGTTACAATTCAAGTATTGTACCCCATCATACTATACACAAAGATATCGCAGGATCAACGTACGGAACAGAAACAGAACACAATGTTTGTACAACAACATCTAGCGGCCGACACTCGCAACATCGTAGGACAGCTACGATATCGTATTCAAGTATACTAACAAGACTTTTACAACTATCATGAACATGGCAACACTTTTTACACGTATAAAAATATTTTTATTACTTATTGCGCAATATATTTTTATAAATATATTATACCACTAACAAAGTTACGAATAAAGGCACTGTCGACTACAAACACACTTTGGCAGCAAAGGTTCTAAAACTTACACACGATCGAACGAATCGACTTCAATCCTTCACACTCGAGATTGGACCTAACTACACGCACAATAATCACAGAATTTCGCCAATAGTTAAATGTGTGTGCTGTTTGACACTAATTTACACGGAGTGTTATTGTCCTTTTCAACTGAGACCGGATTTCAAGTGGTCGACTTGGGCGCGTCCGCCGGAGTAATGATGATGTCTCCAGCGTTCGACCTACTTCTGGTGACTAGTACCGGCGTTTTGGGTTTAGGTGTCTCCGTCATCTTTATGCGCACTCGACCCATGTCAGGCGAGTACACTGGAACGTATTCACGCGACGGTGACAAGAAATCTGAATCAGTGGTTTGGTCCCCGTTTATTAATGGCTGAGAGATATCGGAGTCGCCTGTGCCGTTTAGTTTAGGATTATCATCATCATTAATTGGCACGAAAATGTCTTCACTAGATAATGAGTTGTTATCTTTTCTAAAATCAGGCGACGCTGGGTCTGAATCAAAAGAAGTTTCATGTTGCTGAGGAATATCATCTACTAAATTGTTATCCCTTGAGCTGCTCTTATTTTGGTTTGTATCCCTAGGACTGTCAGTTCTTGTGCCATTATTGTTGCTATGATTTAAACCATTTCCGAGTTCTCCATTTTCGCTTTTCTTTTGAGGCGTCTCGTGTGTTGGGACTAATTCGTATTTTCCATTAACTTTTTTGTCAACAGGAGCCTCTATGCCACCTGCTGGCTTGCCTAATAATGACTTGTTCATGTCAACCATTTCCTTTGATGCTTTTTCAACATCTCTCTTTTGCTGTCGTAAAAGCCTTCTGTCTCTTCGTTTTCTCATTTGGCCTTTAATGATTGCAAAACCAATTAATCCCACTAATAAAATTACAATAATTGCTATACAAACATATGTGCCCGTCTTATGAGGAGCTGGGTTTTCGTTCTCATCGCGTATTTGACCATAAACTTCTGATGCCTGAGTAACTCTGATTTGTTCAGACATTGTGGTATCTCGTGGTGTCGGTGATGTTGGCTTTTCTGTTGTAACTTCTGGAGCAGATGCTACATTCCAATTAACACCACCTTGATACACTGATGGAGGCTCAGGTATCGGGAACTCAGTAACCGTGTTATTTTCGTTATCGAAATACCTATGTACTGGCTCTGGATTCAAGTCTACATAAGGTTCTGTTGTTGTTTCTTCATATCCATGACTTTCGTCAATACCGATGAGAATGTCGCCAGACCCTTCTCCTGATCCTTCAATGGGATCTTCAGTAGTAGGTTCAGTTTCAGCAGCTATAACTTCATCAGCTGCCAATAAATCTTTTTCGAGTTTTCGATTCATTTTAGGTTCCATAAATATGACCATAGTAGTATGTTCGTCGTCTCCGTCGGCAGAACCCTCGATTGTGTTGAAAGGTGACGGTGACGTGTGACCTACTTTTAAGAATTGTAACTGATCATCATCCTCTACAACATCATTTCCTTGAATAACGCTGCCATCTTCTAGGTCACTTTTTGCTACAAGTGGCATTGATTTTAGAGCAGTAGTTTCTTCTCCGATTTTAACAGCATCAATAGGTTGGTCACCCATCATCATATCCAGCATGTTATTTTCTGTTTTCGGAACTTTGCAGATATCTTTTGTTTTCAGTTCTAGCCAGGATTTCCCCTCAAATTTCGTAGGTGAAGCACACTTGGCATTGTCTATGTAAACATTTGCAATGAGCAAACGGTCGCGTGCCAATATGTTTTCACACGAACAGTCGAGAGGATTTCCCTCCAATTCTAAATGCTCCAGACCAACTAAATGTCCTATATCTGAAGGCACATCTTTCAATAGGTTGTTAGTTAAATCTAGTGAACTAACGCTTGAAGGTAAATAGACAAAGGAAAGCTTTTGTATTCTATTATTGGCCAGATTCAGATGCACTAATTTCTTGGCATTGTGGAAGAATTTATTAAGCGTCTGGATACCATTTGTGGAAAGATCCAGCGTGACAACTTCAGTAAGCCGGTCCAGCTCGTGATTTAGCTTCGTGATATTGTTATGCGACAGATCGAGGATATTAATATTGTGATGTTTCTGGCGAAGGGTAAATTTGTACAATTCGGACAGGCTGCTGCAGGTGGCACGGTGAAGGCCATCTCTAGTAGTGTTGCACACACATCCGTCGGGACACACCGCTGCTAAAGTCGGTGCAATCAGCACAGACAGCGCCAAGAAGCACGCCGATACTCGAAGCCACGTCATCTTGACTTGATCTCGGCACCTGGAATTAAGAGAAAAAAACAAATTACTTATTTGTCATCATCACGGTACACGCAAGTCACTGATCACGTAATGGGATTATCCAATATGGAGAACAATCGTGCGGTAAATAACGTCCAAGTTTTATCGTTAATCTGTTCGTTGTCACATGGTTTTGAATTTCAGCCGCAAATGCACTGCAGCCTACGCGTGTTTTATAAATATTTATTAATACAATGCAAACAGCGCTGTACAAGGTGATACACGTCGAGGTGTAGCCGGTAGGTGGACGACTGGTCGGTCATCTTGCTATTATATAAATCACAACATCCCTGCTCGCAAACTGTCATCTAAATATAGGACAGAATAACATACGACGAAACGGTCCCCTGGTCTATTACAGTCTCCACCTCTCCAATTATTGCAACTGCAGTTAGACGGCAATTTGAATCTACGCGTTTCCTTTCATTGATAACGGCATCTGGACTACGTTTTAAACGTCTTTTATGCTTTAACTCGTATACTTGTTTATTTTAGCGGCGGTCTGCACCGTCCTGTTGGTTGCGATTGCACATTTAGGTACTTCCCACATTCCTGGTTTTTATATAGCCCTATTTCGCAGAATGAGTTTGTATTGAAACTTTATGATTTGCTATGATCGACCGTATGATCTCCAATATAGCGTGTATATTGCACCGCTACACTTGTCGGTAATGCGCGGACTTGTTAGTCTTTGACCTGCCCATAAAAAGTTTCAATTGTTTGAACTTATAGTATGTGTATAGGTACTAAATTCCTGATGTTTATATTGACAACCTTGAAGGTAAGTAATCTATTATTCTAAATTATAATAGGTATTATCTTGTTTTCTAAAAATTAATTTGAGTATAATGTTAAAATGAGCATCACGTTACGAACATACATTAAATCAATGAATATCAAAAATCAATTTAAAGACATCTTGATTTAGAAGTTTTATATTTAGATTATTCATCTTCTAATATAAATAAGGTGTCTGGCGACTTTAAAATAAAATATGTTCTATTTATGAGCGCGTAATAACATCCTCGGTGCA